AGTCAATAGTCGTGAGAGGCAGTCAGGCAGAGAGCGAGAGCGAGAGCCATTTGCGACATTGATTTCGATTGAGATTGAGCGACGGAGCGTGAGAGCTAGAGCCTTTTGCGATATTGATTTCGATTGAGATTGAACGACAACGTTAGAGGGAGGCGGGAGGCGAGAGGAGTCGAGAGGGAGGCGAGAGTCGAGGGGAAGAAACATTAGATTTTCTTGGGCCTAAAAAACTGAACCTATATATACATTGGGCTTTACAGATTTGATGTCTTTGGGCTTTATGCTGCCCTGGACCGTCGTCCCTTGGACTTATAGCCAGGGCAAATGTGAAATATACTTGTACACACACATCAAAATGACTATTGCACAAACTTCAGACACAACTCACGAATAACAACACGCTTTCATGAACATGCAATCACGATGTATATCMCATGGTGATGAGAGGAAGCATTCWCATAAACACCGGAACAAAATACTCAATCCATCCTAGAAAAAGAATTCACTTCACATATTTTTCCTTGACCATAGCAAGAGTCTTATCTGATACTTAAATWTGTTCCTAAATTRCCCCTCAGTTGAGGATTTGACAAAGGGTCGTTTTTTCATTTATATTTAGTCAAGTGCAAGTTGTCCAAACAGATTGTCTTATGTTCCTCCTAGATTTCAAAGTGGTCTCTTTTTATTTGGACAAAGGAGGTAATATATTACTTATTCAATATAATTATCCACTAAGTACATTCCATAATGATGCTTTTATACAGGCTCAACCTGTTCTGGATAAGAGACTTTGTTGATATTGAATGAATTGCATGTATATATAACTAATATCTCCAAATCAAGGACTTTGATCGCTATTTTCTAGCTTCCAGATATGGTTGGTCGTAGTTGGATCCCATGCAGGGGGCGTAAGCAAGACACCCAGTGAGCGCAACTGCTCAAGTTCAAGTCAAGTACTTTAGTTTTCAATCTCAGTGATTCAGCGTCAAGTTTTAAGCCTCTAGGTTTAAAAAGCTTCATTGTCACAAGTTATATGTTTTCAATAGTTCCAATGGCTTTTAGTAGGCTCAAGTGGCGATCGAGGTGCTTCTGTGTTTTTGGTCAAATAGTTTGTCTTTGTAGCTTGCCCTCCCCAAATGTATCATCAATTATGATCTTCTTGATCTCCTAATCAATATATTGTCTTACTTTTGCCCCAAAAAAAAACCTAAATTAGCATGTACAATTTTTACATGAGTGCAACCAATGCAGACAATAACCTTAAATTCCCCTCCCCCAAACAAAAACGGAGCTAGTCACTTGGAACATAATGGTAACAGTATCAGATGGTGAAAATGGTTGAATTTTAATGACAATCAGCTGAATTTATTTCTCACACCAGGTATAAAACTTGTTTACTATATCAGAATTCAATTTCTGGTTGACAATCTTCTTTTTTACCCAGCAAAGTTGACACAACAAGTCAAAGACCTTCCAGCCTAGTGGTAAAGGCTTGGGCATGGCATAGTCATGAACCCAAGTTCAAGCCATGGGAGGGGAGTGTTGGCGACATTTAAGTGGGGCCATGTTTAGCCTCCAAACTTGTCGGGGATTAGTCGGGCTTTAGTCCGGACACCCTTACCAAAAAAAAATTGACACAACAAGCTGTTATTGATGCAAAAAATTGAAACGATATTAGGGTTATAAAAAGATGGAGATACCTGAAAACTCCCAAATAGGAAGATTTTGTTGGATCGTATTGTTTGAATCGACTCAGCGAATTGATTAAAATTAATGAATACGAGGGTGTGTATGTGAATTAAGAGATGATAGGAAATTCGGGAGGATGAGAAAGAACGAGTTAGGGATGATGAATTGATCGGAATCATGACCCTGGTGAGTGAGAACGGCCGAGTTAGGGTTTCTTGTTGTTTTTTCTTTTCATTTTTTGTTTCTGTTTTTTTTTTCTTCAATATATCGGTATCAAATGAATTTTCTAATGATAAATTTGGTTTATATGCGTAATGTAGTACCATATGTCAAAAATATGCTTAATTAAACATCAGTTATGTTGTTATATTGAATAAACAGTCTGAATTGTATAAATGACTATTTTATTTTTTTACTTTATATCAAACAATCTTTGTAGATAAAATTTTACAATATAACAACAATATTTGGAACAAATTTTAAAGAAAGTAGATCAAACAAAAAATGAAAATTGTATGAACGTTACAAACAAATCATCAAACAATCAATTTTTAACAATAATTTTTTGTAGATCAATCATATTACATGGAACACTCATACCAAGAACAACAAACAAATCAAATGTAACCAATTGTTGAATTAAATTAAACCGAAATAAAAAAAAAACATAATCTGTTGGGTCTTTTAGCAGCTTGGAGCTGCAACAGATTGTTGTACACATATTGAGTCAAACATGCTCGTCTTTTGGCTGTGAGCATAATTGGAGCATATATGATCAGTTTCACAACCAGAGGCACAACCGCCTGGGACAGAAACGATTGAATGACTTTATCTATATTCACTACAACTTACGACTCAGGGAACGCCAAATAAGGAAGATGCCAGGGAACGCCAAATAAGGAAGATGCCATATGGTTCAGCTTCGCTTGATAGCATTCTGCAAGAGAATGTATTGCATGACTGGATCGTAAAGCTTGAAAAACAAGCATATCAAGAAGACGAGGTAACTTGACATTTCTGTTTGGGCTTTCAASTCTTGTCTTTCTTCTGGATCCGTATTTTTGATCTGTGATTTTGSGCATTCTCATCCTTTCATTCTTGATATTTTCAGGAGGTTTGTAGTGAAATGGAACAAGGCGATGCATATGAGTATGGGTTCCTGGAATATGAAGAAGGAAATGGAGAGGGTAGGAAGGGATCATTGCAGTTGGTGACACTAACAGACGTAGAGCCATTAGATGCTCATCCGCTTAACAATGTTGGGGGTGATGATGAAGATGATGAAGGTGATGATGATGACCTCAATTTCCTGGGTGATGGTTTCAGTGATTCATAGATATCTATATAAAAGAGTGTATAGGATGAGTAAATTGCTGCCTTGTTTATCAGTTGTAATGCAAAACGCGATGTATTATTGTTTGCTTGGTTGTATTATTTAATACTTTGTACATTAGGTGCTCTGATCACCATTGAAGGTAAAAACATCCCGATAAGCCAATAACTAGTGACTAAAACCCTATCAGTAACAATGGATTGGATTGAAGTATTAAGGATAAAATCTAAAATGTAAGAAAAACATAACTTACTTTTATTCGGCCAAATTGGATTCAGCTTGGGACGGGTTACGGCCTAAGTTTGAGACCTGCTAATACATATTATATCAAGTTTTTATAAATTATATACACTTTTTTATTTTATTTTTAATTATATTACATATCTTTAATTTTCAAAAATTATTCAATCTAAATATATTATTTAAAGTGAATTTTAATATTAAATTTTCAAAAATAAAATGATAGAAACATATATGATATTTTTGTATAAAATAGAAAAAATTGGTCCCAAAATTTACATTATACGAAGATTATGGTCCAAATTTTACTCCATGATACATTCTTTATAAACCTTTATCTATATCTATACTATATTATAAAACAATTAACAAATTCATAAAAACCATTTTTTATGCATAAAAATATTGTATATTGATGCATATTACTTAAAATTCAATATTACAAGTAAATTATGCATTAAGTACAACTTATTAAAGTTCCATCTTTGAATTCGTGTAACTAACTACGGATAAACATAATCAAATATAGGATAAACATCTTATTTTAAAATATAAAAAATCTAAAATACAATTAGGATAATTATCGAGTTTCTAACCGAATATTTAATTATTATCTTTAATAAAAATTATATTATTAAACCAAAATAAAATTAATTTCTTATTATACCTAAAGTAAATTATAATAAAAAAATTGAATTAAAGAAGTTACATAAAAAACGAAAACTATTAAATAGTTAATTTAATACTAATATCGAATTCTTTCAAATTTATATTTCATTCCAAAAAAAAAATATTATCGCTTTCTCAAAACCACAAAAAAAAAATATTACATCAATAGAGACAAATAATAAAAATTAAACATTAAAATGGAGATTTATCTCGCTGCATTGTAAATTTCATATATTTTATAAAATGTAAAAATGCTCAAAGCTTATGTACTAAAGCATTTCCAGAAAAAAGATTATCTAAAATCTTTCCTTCTATTACACCCATAGACCTTGAGAAATTGATTACAGGCTACAATGTTGTCATGGTTTGTACACAAGATCTGCTTTTCCAACAACCGATCAACTCATGTTTTGGTTTGATACTTGACTACTACTACTACCTTCCAGCTTCATCAACTGTGTGATATTGAAGAATTTCTCGAAGGTAGTCCAGCTGTTCATGACTCCCTTCAAGTTCTTCCCACCGCACAACATAAAATATAAAAAGAAAATCAAGTAAAAAAAGAGATGGACCATTAGACCATAATGAAAGGCCCCCTGAACTAATCCATCATTCGTTTCAGGAAATAAATCTTCTTGCACGATTTTTCACTAAATGACTTGAAAATGTTAAAGTGGAGGCAAAGTTTACAAGCTCTTGGCTTAAATTGATCATCAAGCATCAAGAACGATGAGTAGAGACATAACATTTATATCAATAGTAAATAAGGAGATTTTCCTTCCCAAAAAGAAAAGAACATGTACAAGGCTAACGCAACGAAAGAACTCACTTTTTGGTGAGATACTGATACAAGCTTCCAACCAGCAGCTTCAAGGTAGCGYCRTTTCAGTAYTGTATGCCYTAAAGGGTTTCCTGTTGACAAAAAGCATCAAAAGAATCTGGGGTTTATAGAAGCTCAATATACAATACTAGAGAAAAAGAATGCCAACTAACATTTACCACCCACCTGAATTTCTTGAGAAATGTGTTGGCCCATCAATCTCCAATGCAACTTTTAGATCAATCAAAGCAGCATCCAAGGTGTACCCATCTACAACATATTCTCTTGTCCAATCAAGACCAGTGCTAACAAGAAGACGGCCGACCTCCTTCTGAAATGAAGACGTGATCTTCTGATTAAAATGTGCAGTTTTCCCAGCACGAATAATTTTTCCTCAATATCACTTTTAAGAGACAATAACGAATGAGGGTACTCAAGCTTCAGACACTAGTTAACAAGCTGGATCTAAGTAGCAAACATGATATCCTCCCTATATTGCTCTGATATCTGTTGCTCCTCAAAATAGCCTAGGGTTTTCCAGACATGGGAAAAGAATGTCCGATCTATTTGCCCAAGAACAGCACAAGACCAGGATATGTTTCCAAGTTGATCCCTGTTGAAATCAAGAACTGGAGGAAAGCCTTCAACTTTGATACTTTCTGCACCTCTTGGTTAAGTGAATTTTAATGTTCTCTTATCCAAGCTGCACTTATATTGATGGGCATCCTTGTAAACATCATCAAGAGATGCAAATATCGAGTCTGCAGGCTCAACGAGCGAAGCAAAAGCCCACAACAGCTGAGCAAGTTCATGTGACTGAAAAGTGTGAATGATATCTGAAGCTCTTTTTGATATTTCTAAAACGAGCTCTGGAGCAGCATGCTGCATAGAGGCAAAAGCACCAGCAATATTAGCAACATTCTGTGAATTGAATTCGCCAACCTTGTTCAAGCCCACCTCTGCCACTCTATCCATCTCAGACAGATAAAGGAGCTCACCACCGATCTTGGACAAGGCCCATGTGATATTTGAAACACCTTGAGCAGAGCATTCTGGAAGTGCCATCATTGCCAAACCTACAAGCATAGACATCTCCCTGCGCCAGGCAAATGCAAGTCTGTGACTCCTGGTCATCGAAACTTTCTCCATGTTCTTAGCAATACGGTGGATAGTTGTGGCAAGGTTTAACAGAGATAAAGGTGAAGGACTCAAGCCTTTGGCAACAGCCATTATCATCTCAGCATTCCCTTCCAATACTTGATCTGCAGTCTGTGCTTCCACAATTTCTCTGTTCAAATTGATCTCTTTTCTACGATCGTGTGGCCCAAAGAAATGGGATTGCCTCTCAACAAAAGTTTCCATGGTTTTTTCCTTTCTTTCCTTAAACATCCCACCTGCCATGATACTCACACTTGTTTTAAGCTGGTCCTTATCATCCAAAAGGTCTTCAATATTCAATTCATCATCTTCCCCATCAGAATCGAAATCCAAACTTTCCTTGGTGGGCTTTTCCTTGTTAACTACCGGTTTCTTCTTAACGTTATGGCTCTTCTTCTTGTTCTTCTTCTTAAGATTAACAGTGACAAGATCTTCCATGGCACTGGTCAAACCTCTGGTTTGAATAGACATGAGAGCAAATTTCCTTGCTCTTACACACCAATCCGTTGAGTCTGTTTCTTGAAGCAATTCAGACTTTTCTTTTTGTTTTCTCTTACTCATAGGATGAATCTCTCCTAGAAATTCATCTTCCCAGTCCAAATTAGACTGTGTAGGCTCTTCTCCACGACCATCCTCATCATCATCAACCACTTTTATAACACGAAAATCTTTGTTTATGTTAACACCAACACAAAAACAAGTGTTTTTGGGAAGAGGTAGTCCAAGGCAGAGTTTTGCGGTAGAGAAAGAAAAACCCGAATCCGTAAATCGTAAGTATTTAACAGAATTCAAGCACAATAGTGGGTTCAAGCTTATACCTCTTGGACACAAAATTGGTGAATTTAACATAACCATCTAAAAAAAATTAGTAATACGCTATGAAACAATGTAAACCCTACAATATAGAGATTAACATACACTGATGAAAATAAAACCATCTACTTTAGGCGATTCCACCTCCAATTCCATCCCCTTCTCCGGCGAATCCCAACCCTGCATCCACTTCTTCGGCCACAACCGACCACTCCCGTACTAGGTCGAGACGCACCGCCATTGTCGGCTTGATTTAAGGATTCTGGGCTGCTCGCTTCACGTTCTTCATCCACCTCCTCTGCCGGCTCGTTTTGTGTATCAGCTCTCTTCTCCCATTACATTCTTTATTTAGGGTTTCTAAGTATCTTATAATCAAGAGATTCTTTTCCTTCTTTGCTTCGTTCTTTTGAAGATGAGGTGACAGACCGATTGATTTGGGTTTTAGGGTTTGCGCGTGAGTTGTTATGTCTTCGGCCTTTGCATTTAAAAACAATTTCTATTAATGTTTTTGAGCAGTATCTTTTCACCTTATATTCTTGGAATTATGCAAGTGAGTTATGTGACACTTGATCCAAATGGTTGGTTTAGCTTGAGCACCAAGTGTTTGATTAAATGCCAAATCCATAATCCAATTTTTGGTTGGTATCTTCTTTGCCAGATTGTAGTATGATTATCTCATAGTGTTGTCTGTTGACTTTACTTTCTTGTTAAAGTATCTAGAGAGGCTTTGGTAGAATTTTTTAGTGCTAGAGGAAGAGTTTGTTGATCTAAGAGTATTCCGTTTTGGGGGGAGAGATTTTTGGGCCAGTTGAGTGATGTTTTCTTTGATTCAGAACCCCGGTTTCTAGGTTCTGATAGAGAGAGGATGGTGGAAGAAGGAGTATGGCAGCAGGTTAGTCACCGCCAGAGGAAGAGTTATCGTCAAGATTTTCAGCAGAGGAACCAGCTCAATGATTCCAAACAATCTGTGGTTATCAGGAGAGACTTATTTAAAGGAAAGACAGCCAACTTTTACTTCACCAACTTTCCAGATCATGTCAAGGAGGCTGACATATGGAAGATTTTTATTAGGATTGGGAAAGCAGCTGATGTTTACATTGCTAAGAAACACAACAATCAGGGTAACAGATTCGGATTCGCAAGGTTCTTAGGAGTTTCAGACTCTAGAGGATTCAAAGGTAAGCTCAATAACACGTGGGTTGGAGTTCAAAAGCTTTATGCCAATATTGCAAGATTTTTAAGGGACGCCCCACCTCGGATTTTCGGAAGTGCCAAGCCTTTACGTGGGGATAAGCGACAAGTCTCCGTGCCAAAAACTTTCGCTGATGCAGTTAGGGGCTCGTCCAAAGTCGTTGTTCCTCCCCGACTATCGTTTAATTCTTCTTC